ATTCAATAAAGAAAAGATTATCTTTTTAACAAATGGTATTGAAGCTATTAAGATATCCATATGCAAAAGCTCAAATCTACCTAAATCTTATGTTATGTAAAATTTAACTCAAATTGGATCATAGTTCTAAATTTGAAATCTAAAAATTTGCAACATGTAGGAGAAAATATTCAAAGCCTAAAGTTATGCAAAGCATATATAGGCATGGTTCCCAAAGCTTAATTTCATTAAAAAAAAAAAAAAAGCTGATAAATTGGACTTCATTGAATTTTAAAATTTTTCTCTTAAGGGTGCTGTTAAGAAAATAAATGACAATTTACAGATTGTGAGAAAATGCTTGCAAACCCAATATCCAAAAAAGAACTTAGATTCCAAATATATAAAGAACTTTTAAACATGTAGCCTCCTTTGAGTTGAATGTGGCTTGTCATTACCAAAACTCATGGTAAGACTTGGCTCCTTCAATGTAATGGAATTGAGGGGTACAGCTTTCAAGAGGTAGGGGCTCATGGGAGATGATTAGATCATGGGCCATAACCCCTTTTAGAGTATCAGTGCTTGTCTTTATGAGCACCCAAAAAGACTTTAGCCCTTGGGGAAGTACAAATTAAAACCATAATGATTTAACATTCTATAGCTATTTAAGTGGCTAAAATAAAAATATTAACAGTATAAAATGCTGATAAAGATGCAGAACAGTTGGATTTCTTACACATTTCTAGTAGGGGACACTTTCTGCCAGAGTTTGACAGTTTTTTATAAAGTTGTACCGTATAACCCAGCAAACCCATTCCTGGGTATTTACCCTAGAGAAATGAAAAGAAAACATATTCACACAAAATCTGTATATAAATATTTGTAGAGCCATATTTATAAAGGCCAAAAACTTGAAACAACTTGAAAAGTGAATGCCTAAACAAACTGATATATCCATAGAGTGGAACACTATTTGGCAATATAAAGTAGCAAACTGTTGGTACACACAACTTGAATGAATCCCAAATATATTGTACTAAGTTTACTAATCTCAAAGATTAAATACTGTATCCTATTATTTTTATGACATTTCTGAAAAAATGAAACTGTAGTAATGGAGAACAGATATTGATTGCCAAAGATTAAGTATAGAGGCAGAGTGTTACTGTAAAAGGATAGTATGAGGGAGTTCTTTGGGGAGATGCATCCGTTCTGTGTTCTTGATGGTTATACCAACCTATACATGTATTAAAGCTCTAGAACTTACCCCCAACCCCTGCCAGGTCATTCAATGAGAAAAGACAAAATACCAGATATTGATCAATATGTTAGAGTAACTGGAAAATGTTCCATGTTAAGAAAATAATTCCACAGTATCTGCTTAAACTGAGCTGTTCCCTGTTGCCCAGCAGTACAGAAATGTGTACACAGTCACCAGAAACATGTCCATACGTGATGATCAGAACTATTTTCTTTAAAAAAAAAAAAAAAAGGTTTATTTTTTACTTGAGAGACAGAGTTACACAGAGAAAGGAGAGGCAGAGAGAGAGAGAGTCTTCCATCTTTGGTTCACTCCCCAGATAGCCGCAACAGCTGAACCTGTGCCGATCCGAAGCCAAGAACCAGGAGCTTCTTCCGGGTACCTCACATAGGTGCAGGGCCCAAGGACTTGGGCCATCTTCTACTGCTATCCCAGGCCACAGCAGGGAGCTGGATCAGAAGTGGAGCAGCCAGGTCTTGAACCAGTGTCCATATGGGATGCCAGTGCTTCAGGCCAGGGCATTAACCTGCTGCACCACAGCGCCGGCCCCGATCACAACTGTTTTCATAAAGACTGCAAAGCAATGATGTCCATCAATAGGAAAATACATTTTTATATTTTTTATTTTTTTTATATTTTTTATTTTTTATATATTTTATATATAATATATATATATTTTATATATATAAAATATATATATTATATATATATTTTATATATATTTTTATATATTTTATATATATTTTTTTATATATTTTATATATATATATATTCATTCGTGTAATTGGTTATTATGAAGCAGTGAGAATGATGTTATAAATGATAGGATATTTACAAACACAATGTTAAATGAAAGAATTAAGACACAAAGGAATACATCCTGTCAGTTGTTCTCCAGGTGTCATCCTGAGACTTTCAGGGGTGGCTGAGTCACTTTTAGGGAGTCTCCAAGGTCAAAAAACTGCACTGATTCTCAATGCAGGGTGCAGGGGGTAAAGCTGTTTGTAACACATACCATTGTCTGTGGCCTTTCTGCTCATCAGTTGTGTTCTTGGATTCCACTCCTCCATACATGTACATGTACACATACACACACAGACAAGTCGTTTCTCCGCTGGAAAGCTTAGCTAGAATACTGAAAGTTTCTGGTGTTTTGCAAGTGCCTTATGCTTCTCCCAGGTCGGGAGTTGTATGTGTAGGTAGGTACCTGTCCTGAGATTAATCATGATTTTCCTGTGTTTTCTGAGTTGCTTCAAGAGTATATCAACCTTTATGAATGTGTTATGGTCTCTGAATAATTAAATTTAACTGTTTGATTTAGGAAATTATTTCCTTTTGTCATCTATTCTTCTGGATTCTAATTTTGTTTCTGTTTCTTCCATCTAGTGTTATAGTATTCCTATAGTGTTATTCCTTTAGAATTTAAGTTTTAGAAATTTGTTTCTTTAACATATCCAGGGATTAAATCTGGGTTATCACTCCTTTTCTGAAGAACTTGCTTTCTTGGATTTTTCAGTCTCCTTCCTGTCTGCTTGCTAATCATGGATGTGGCTAACAATACTGGTTGTACAGTGTATGTGTTGCCTGATCATCTTCTGTGTATCATTTTTTTTTTTCCTTTTGAGTATTTAGTCAACAGTGGCTATTTGCTGCTGCCAAATTCTTCTATAATAATAAATAGGATTAGGGCAAGTGTTTTGGCACAGTGAGTTGGGCTACTCCTTGGGATCCTTGCATCCCTATATCAGAGTGCTAGCATCTCCACTTCCAATCCAGGTTCCTGATAATGCATGCCGGGAGGCAGCAGACAATGACCCACATACTTGGGCCCCTGCCACCCAAATGAGAGACCTGGATGGAGTTCAGGGTTCCTAGCATTGGCCTAGCATGGCCCTTGCTATTGCAATCATTTAGGAAGTACACCAGTGGATAGAAGATATCTCTCTTTCTCTTTATCTATGTGTGTCACTCTGCCTTTCAAGGATATGACTTAGATAAGCACTAAAAAAATAATAAGTAAAATTAACTTGGAAAAAGAGGTAATATATATGGCGTCAGACAATTTAGCTAAATACTGTAAAAAAACTCTCTGAACTCTCTTTACTCATACTTAGTCCTTTGCTGATTTTAGTCTTGTTTCAGCAGTTTGGGGCAGGCATTTAGGATCTATCCTCCCATAAAAACACCAAGTGTCTTGGCTTGTTCACCTCTAATGTACATAAACATAGTCTTATCAAATATATGAAAATTCTGCCAACATTTATAAAAGAAATATTAGGAATTTATTTTTTGTCCTAAAGCCTTGGAAATTTGTCTCCTGGACTGCACTTCTTTAGCCCTGCATGGAGGGAAGGAGGTACAGATAGGGTGGCAGGCTATGTGAGCCTTCCACTGGGTATTGGAGTGAATACAGGGTGACAGGAGTGGATGGTGAAGTGGAAATGTGCCATAGCTCCTCTGAATCAGTGGCTTGATTGTAAGGTTACTGGTTATAGGAGATGAAGACCCTGCTGTGAAAGGGGTCTTGGGAATGGTGGAGAGACTAAGAGGGGCAGAAATGGGATATACCTAAGGAGTGTGAAATCTACTTAGTTTCTCCTTTCGTCTTGGAAGAGAGAAGGGACAAGGGCTGATGGGGCCCTACAGTGGGTGACCTCTTCTTCATTTCTCCTCTGAACCCTGTTACCTTGTCACATTGATTTCCCTTCCCTTTTCTCCCACCTGCCAGTCAGCAGCCCTAGGGTAGAGTGTTAAGTAACATAGGGTTATAGTAGCTTTTTATTGGTGTTTTCCTCATTTCCTCCTTCTCTCCTTTCTCCACTCTTGTTGGCAGATGATAACAGAGGGAACTGGAGGGTGCAAGGTGTGAGGAGTTTGGAAGAGAGCAGGGAAGAACAGGAGGAAAGAGAAGGCTGGAGCAACTGTTACAGTTGGGGACACGAAGGGGGAAAGTGTGTACTCTGCAGGGACACATGTTCTAAAGCATCTCTGATAGCTGGTTACTTACTGTTCTCTAGTAAGTATGTTACCTAGAAGCTGCATCTAGCTAACAAGCTTGAAAGAAGAGATGCTGTTGCTTAACAAAGTGCTAGAGATATACAGTTAATTTGCAGATTTTACATATATTTTGTGTATGTTTTGTCTTTCTGATGATTACATGTTCAGGCATAAATGCTCTTTACCAAACCAGATGCATGTTGATGTTTAATGATGGAGGTGGCAGCATCAAGAGTGTGATCAGCCGAGACCAGGCTGTGGAGTCTTCGGTCAGGCTCTACTACTGCTTCTAAGTCTGTTCTGTGTGTCAACTGTGAAGTGTGGCTTCGAATATCTTCTTTACAGAGTGATTTTAATAGGTACTCCATAAATATTATGTCTCTTCCTTCATGGAAGTGGTATTTTTATTGAGGTTATTCAATTCTAAATTCTGATGGTTCCGATTTTGCTTGTTTAATTGGGTTCTTGAAACACATTCATTCTGGTATTAATAACGAATCAACCAAAAACATTCATCAAGAAGAGGTAACTAATTTTGAAAATACAAAGTGACGTCTTTAAAATAATTGCTATCTAAATATATAACTTTAAAAAGTTTCTGTTTATTAAACATGCAACGTTAACCAAAATGTCAATTGAAAAAGTACAAAGAATCCTACCATGGGAGCAAAATGTTTTCATTGTTCTGTTACCCCTTCTACTCGAGATTCATTTATTGTGCTATATTAACAGTCACTCTTTATAAAGGCATTTGCTTTGTCTCCAGGTGTAAAACAAAGGTGTATCCAGATAATCTTCCTACAACAAGTGTGGTGATTGTTTTCCACAATGAGGCTTGGAGCACACTTCTACGAACTGTTCATAGTGTCATTAATCGCTCACCAAGACACATGATAGAAGAAATTGTTCTAGTAGATGATGCCAGTGAAAGAGGTAAATTTTAATTTTAATGCCAATAATAACCTACACTTTTTGTCACCAATAGTTAAAAAACTAGTTGTTAATATTTTTAACCTCGAATTTTATACAAATTTATGTTTTATCCTACACATTTTTATAGTAGGGTGGATGTTTGGTGCAGCAGTTAAGCCACTGCTTGACCCGCCTACATCCCATGTTAGGGAGCCTGAGTTCAAGTCCCAGTTCCACTTCCAATTCCAGCTTCCTGTTAAAGTGTACCCTGGGAAGAAGTGGTGATGGCTCAAGTACTTGGGTCTTGGTCTCTCCACGTGTAGGAGGCTTATATTGGACTCTAGGCTCCTGGTTTTGACCTGGCCCAGCCCAGGCAGTTATAGGCATTTGAGGAATGAACCAATGGTTGGAAGATCTCTTTCTCTCTCTGTCCTCTCCCCCCCACTCCCGCCCCAGCTAGCCATCTGTCTCTTCAAATAAATCAAAAAAAATTTTAATTCTATGCTATATTGTATACTTAAATTTTTTCTGGCATTTGGACTCATCCAGAAATGCAAAAACAGTATACCTTTATGAAACTTAGCATTTAATTTGTGGTACATCTTCATCTTATTTAAAAAAAAATACTGTATAATGTAAACAGCAGAGCAATGAAAAACTCACATAATTTTGTTAGGATTTTCTCTGTGGGAAGCTGCAGCTCGGAGTCAAATGGAGACAGGATCATATGTATAGAGATGAATCCAAAAATTTGGTTCTGAGTGAAGTAGAAAGTATCTTTGACAGCAGAATGAGCCTTAGCTGAGTGAGCTTTAGTTCTGTAGATTTTTCTTAGGTTTTCCTATTTATTTCCAAGTTTCAGGAATGATGTACAACTAGGTGGATAAAAGAGTTAGGAAGGGTGATAAGGTGCTGTGTAATATGACACAACTTACAGTCACTCTGCAGTGACCATTTCACAAATGTGCTTCAAAGAATCTTGGAATTTTTCTTAAGCTTAGCATCCCAAACTATTTCACGGTGTTTTAAGTTAACGTTATTTATTCTGAAACCTTATTGGAGATTTCATACAGCAGAGTACTATAGTAAATGGTATTTCCCAGTGTTTTTTTTTTTTCCACAGCACATCTGTTTGAGAGTCATTGATGTCATGTATTCCCCCATTATTACTGTGCTCACATGAATAAATTTTGTAGGGAAATACAAAAAGTAGCTTTGTACTGCTTTTTCTTCCTTCTTCAACCAGCCTTGAACTTCATCACTTAAACCTGTGTTAGTGTTTCAGCTTGATGGCCTAGTCTTTCATTGCATCTGCTAAGATGTTTTAGTCAAGCATCATACCTTCCCCTTCCTATGCCCACCCTAACTTTGTGTATTTAATAATAACTGAGTTTAACTGCACTGTATTATTGGGAATAATTTGTACATTAATGACAATTTAAATCTTACAATTTTGCCAGATTGTACAGGTACAAATGAAGAATAAGATATAATCCTATGCCCTCAAGTACCTTCTTAATCTAATTAATGAGTTGAGAATCACATAGAATATCTAAACAGGACAATGTATATTGTAACTCAGTATCAAAATGATTGAGAGCTGTTACAAATTAAGAATATCATAGTAAAGGCCAACATTATAGCATAGCTGATGAAGCCACAGCCTGCAATGCTGGCATCCCACATTGACGCCAGTTTATGTCTCGGCTGCTCTGTTTCTGATCCAGCTCTCTGCTGTGGAGGATAGCCCAGGTACTTGGGCCCCTGCCACCCATGTAGGAGACCCAAAGGAAGGTCCTGGCTCCTGGCTCTGGTCTGGCCTAGCACCAGCTGTTGTAGCCATCTGGGGAGTAAACCAGCAGGTAGAAGTCCTCTCTCTCTGCAGTTCTGACTTTCAAATAAATAAATCTTAAAAAAAAGAATACCACACTAAGAAGGAATTATTGTTGACAAGAATATAAATCTCATGTGGATAATTTGTTTGCTAGAACTTATCCCTCTTGAAGAAAATTAACCTAGGGGCCAGTGCTATGGCTTAATAGGTAAAGCCTCCACCTGTGGTGCTGGCATCCCATATGGGCACCAGTTCAAGTCCTGGCTGTTCCAATTCCAATCCAACTCTCTGCTATGGCTTAGGAAAGCAGTAGAAGATGACCCAAGTCTTTGTGCCCCTGCAACTACATGGGAGATCTGGAAGAAGGTCCTTGCTCCTAGCTTTGGATTGGAGCAGCTCTGGCCATTGCGGCCATCTGGGGGGTAAACCAGCAGATAGAAGAATTTTCTCTCTCTGCCTCTCCCTCTCTGTGACTCTGCCTTTCAAATAAATAAATTTACGTATTTGAAAGAGAGAGAGGGAGAGACAAAGAACTCTTCATCCACTCATTCATTCTCCAAATGGTTGTGGCCCAAGCTGTGGCCAGGCCAAAGACAGGAGCCAGGAATTCCATCCTGGTCTCCCATGTGGGTGGGATGCAAGTGCTTAAGCACTTCTTCTGGGTCTCCCATGTGGGTGCAGGGGCCCAAGGACTTGGGCCATCTTCTACTACTTTCTCAGGCCACAGCAGAGAGCTGGATCAGAAGTGGAACAGCTGGGTCTCGAACAGGCGCCCATATGGGATGCTTGCACCACAGGCGGTGACTTTACCTGCTATGCCACAGTGCCAGCCTCTAATTATTCATTTATTAGTTAATATCTACCCTCCCCCAGTAGACTGCTTCCATCAGGGCTATTTGCTCACCATTATCTCCTCAATGCTTCCAGTTCCTTTACATAGTAAACAGCCTAAAATTCATTGAATGAGTGATCTACCAATCATTTAATCCTCACATCTACTTCTTATCTGCACACACTTTGTAAGGAATGTGTGTAGGGCACACAGTCTGCCCATGGCCTTAGGATACCTGATTTCATAGTTAATCTACTCCTGCTGAGTAGGTCTGTTTATTAAAAAAAATACGAAGTAGGTGCTATAGTTATCCCCTTTATTTTTGAAGTTTTATTGATGAAAAAAATGAGGCTTAGTGTAGTAGAGGGATACCCAAACTATTTAAGTCCAGGGCTTGACCTCTTTTTTATTTATTTATTTATTTTTTTTTTTATTTTTATTTTTTTAACAGGCAGAGTGGACAGTGAGAGAGAGAGACAGAGAGAAAGGTCTTCCTTTGCCGTTGGTTCACCCTCCAATGGCCGCCGCGGCCGGCCCACTGCGGCTGGCGCACCGCGCTGATCCGATGCCAGGAGCCAGGAGCCAGGTGCTTTTCCTGGTCTCCCATGGGGTGCAGGGGCCAAGCACCTGGGCCATCCTCCACTGCACTCCCTGGCCACAGCAGAGAGCTGGCCTGGAAGAGGGGCAACCGGGACAGAATCCGGCGCCCCAACCGGGACTAGAACCTGGTGTGCCGGCGCCGCTAGGCGGAGGATTAGCCTAGTGAGCCGCGGCGCCGGCCCAGGGCTTGACCTCTTAACCACTGTGTGCGTCGCTTCTGATGGAGCTCTACTGTTAGAAGGTCTATATTGAAGTCAGTCTGGACAAATCTAGTTCATGTCTGAAGATACATAAACACCATCTTAGACGGTTTTCTTAAGACTTAAAATTTTTGTCATATTCCTAATCTAACTTGTTTTTCTCATTTAACACAGGGAGTTTTAGAGGGGTCAGACTTATTAGACCCTCAATTCCTTGTTCTTCCTATGTATATGTTAAGAGTTCTGTCCAATACTTCTCCGATGTTGGTGAAGTTTTCCCTGACATTCTCTTTCTTAGAACCTCACACTCCCTGACGGATGGGTGCTTCGGGATCTCTGTATAGGTCAGTGGTAGCAAGATATTCTAGTAAACAAGATTCTCCCTTATTTTCAGATGAACAGTATTCTATAACCACACTTAGCTCCCATACCTTCATTTTTGTAAAATTAAGTTTGAATAGATAGTTCTAATCTCCTAGCCAGTAGTGAGCCCATAATTTTATACTGATACACAGACAGCTATTTCTTAGCTTTATTGCATGAAAGCCACAAATATCTCAAACAAAGATGCCAAGAAAATGTGTATAATAGCATATTTTTTGAGTTACTAGACCACAGAACCATGAATTTTTCATTTTGTTCATGGACAAGACAGAGTATTACAGCTTTCAGAGATGTAGATCTTGGATATTAGATAGCTTTGGTTCTTAAGCATTTTTGACCAAACATTTTTCAGGAAAACGTGGTGGACACATTGTTTATGATACAACAAACCTTGACTGATGTAATATAGGAGAATTTATTTCATACCCTATAGCACATGAGATTCTGATCAAATTCTGGACATACAGTATTTATTTTAACTTTGTATCTGATCAGATGCTTACACAGTCCTGAGTTCTCTCTGGAGTTTGCTTCTAGGATTTTCTTGCTGTGAACAAAAATACAGGCTTTGAATTTTGGCAGACTTGGGTTCAAATCTTGGATCCATTCCTTAAAAACCTATTACCTTGATCAAATTCACTTAATAGTAGATTTTAATTTCTAAAATATCCATAGTAACATTTAACCTCATAGGGTAGTTTGAAGATTAGATAAAACCTATAAAGTGAGTAGCATTGTACTAGACAGAAAACAAAATGTTAGCTGCTGCTGCAGAATGTTACTTTTCTCTAGGTTGGCACTACCTCTCTACATTTTAGTCAGAATCAAGTAGATCTTTCTGACCCTAAAATTGCTCATAAAATCACAGTGATGGTTTTCAGATACTCTGACTCAAATGCAGATTAGGAAATATGAGCAGAAATGGAAACCGTCAAGTCTTCGGTATAGTGTCTAAGACACACAGACCTTTTCTTTCACAGTTTTCGTGTCCCTCATCGCTTCCTCATGTAGTTGTTTCTGGTTTTACCGAACTGGCAGTTATTTCACTTCCATTTGTCTCCCCCACACCACCATATAGGAAACTCTTTGGATCCCTACAGTTAGTATTTAAAGAGCTCCTCAGGCCGGCGCCGCGGCTCACTAGGCTAATCCTCCTGCTGCGGCTCTGGCACCCTGGGTTCTAGTCCTGGTTGGGGTGCCATTTCTGTCCCGGTTGCTCCTCTTCCAGTCCAGCTCTCTGCTGTGGCCCGGGAAGGCAGTAGAGGATGGTCCAAGTGCTTGGGCCCTGCACCCACATGGGAGACCGGGAGGAAGCACCTGGCTCCTGGCTTCGGATCAGCGCAGTGCCAGCCATATTGGCCATTTTGGGGGTGAACCAATGGAAGGAAGACCTTTCTGTCTCTCTAACTCTGCCTGTCAAAAAAAAATAAAAATAAAAATATATAAAAAAAGAGCTGCTTAGTACATTGACCCTGATTTCCCTGACCTTCCCATTACTAGAGTCCTATGGGACAAATATAGTTACAGGAGTGCCAGTATTCCCATCTCGAATATTTCCTTTGCTTGAGAAATTATCCTCATACCTACTAGATCAGGGTTAGTTGGAACGATGTTTTGCCCTATCACCATCAATAGCTTCTCTGGCATAAGTTCTACAAACTCACCTTATCTGAAAAATCTTTGTTTCGAGAAAGCTGTACTTTTTCTATGTTTTTGTTTTAATTCAGAAATCCATGCATAATTTCTCATGAACTTTTTAAAAATTTATTTGCAAGTCAGTCACAGAAAGGGAGAGAGAGATCTTTCATTTGCTAGTTCATTCCCCAGATGTTCACAACAGCCAGAGCTGGGCCAAGCTGAAGCCAGGAGCCTTGTTCACGTTGAGTGATGGGGCCCAAATATTTGGGCCGTCTTCTGCTGCTTTTCTCAGGCCATCAGTGGAGCTCACGTCTTGGCTGCTTTTTCTACGGTTTAAAGTCAGTTGTGAGGCCGGCGCTGTGGCTCACTAGGCTAATCCTCCGCCTTCCAGCGCCGGCACACCGGGTTCTAGTCCTGGTCGGGGCGCCGGATTCTGTCCCGGTTGCCCCTCTTCCAGGCCAGCTCTCTGCTGTGTCCCGGGAGTGCAGTGGAGGATGGCCCAGGTGCTTGGTCCTGCACCCCATGGAGACCAGGAGAAGCACCTGGCTCCTGCCATCGGATCAGCGCGGTGTGCCGGCCGCAGCACGCTACCATTGTGGCCATTGGAGGGTGAACCAACGGCAAAAGGAAGACCTCTCTCTCTCTCTCTCTCTCTCACTCTCACTCTCACTCTCACTCTCTCTCACTGTCCACTCTGCCTGTCAAAAAAAAAAAAAAAAAAAGTCAGTTGTGAACTTTGGGCACAGCCTCTTATCTGAATTCTTCTTTGTAGCTGTTGATTTTGCTCCACATAATTCCCTTTCCTCTCTTCCTTCCTTTTCTCTTTTCCTCATCAGACTGCCTTTCTCTTTTAAAAACTTTTTTTCCTTCAACCTTCTTGTCTGTTAAAGATCTCTCTTTGGCCTTGTAGTTACAGTCCAGGATTTCTGTTATGAACTTGACATGACTTCCTGCCTCCTGATAAAAGAAGTGTATAATCAAAAGATGTGGTAATCACTAAAACAGTTTGTTTCTGCCTATGGAGAAATCCCACAGCGGTGGCATTCTCTGTCCTCTCTCTGTATTGAGGTCTGGATTTAACGCTTTTAAATTGTTTCCTATTGCTGATGCTTACTTATGATTAGAAAAAGCAGCATTCATCCTGGACAGGTCAGGGAAATGTGATAACATGCTTGTCTTGAGCCCGGTGCTCTCATGAAATAAAAAACTTCCTTCAGTGAAATGGATTTGTGAACCAGGGAACCTCACAAGGAGTGCTCACTGAGAATATGTGTTGAAAGAATTTTTATTGCAAGTCAAAATTGCTTTACATCTGGTTAGCACTGCATCACACTTCTTTTTCATATTATTCCTTTTTCAGATTTTTTGAAAAGACCCCTAGAGAGTTATGTGAAAAAATTAAAAGTCCCAGTTCATGTAATTCGAATGGAACAACGTTCTGGACTGATCAGAGCTAGGTTAAAAGGAGCTGCTGTGTCAAAAGGCCAAGTGATCACCTTTTTGGATGCTCATTGTGAGTGCACAGTGGGGTGGCTGGAGCCTCTCTTAGCCAGGATCAAACATGACAGGTAATTTGCTATAATGTGAGTTTGCTTTCTGTACATTTGTCTTAAACTGTGTGGTGGGTTGGACCATTCTATACTTGTAGAAATCTTAAATGTAAAAATGATTTCCTAAGCATCTTCTAAAATAATGCCAAAGAATACTCTATATGAAATCTGAGCAAGGCCACATTCTAAAATCTGAAGAAGTGTTTGCACACTGTCTTGTTAATGGGAATGGATTGGGAAGCATTTTATTTGCATGCACAGTATCATGTGTTCAGTTCACTAAATGGGAGAACAGATGAACAATGAATTCAAGGGAGGTGGGATAAAACCATTTATTTGTGCTTCCTCCCTGAGACTAACACTGGAGCAGGCAGGTCATCCCCTCTCTACCACATTCTTACTAGGACTGTAGCTCTCAGCTATAACACAGCGAGCAGTAGAAGGAGCTGGAGAAAAGCACATTGTGTCCTGAAATGCTCAATTGTATACAAAAGCACTGTAATCTTAGATAATACAGGAAGAGCATTGGTACAGTGTGCACCTGTAGTTGTAGTCTTCATGTTGCCTACTGCTTGGCACTGATTTAGTTCTTGTGTTTCAGGAGAGAATTTAATGTCTGCTAGACCTATGTTAGTTGAATTTCTGCTTGTTAATGCAGTTTGAGCTAGAGGCTGTCTATCTTAGTTTAACATTAAGGGTTAGATTTTAGTGGGGCAAACTTTCACCACTAAGGGGAATGTGAGGGGAACTGAAGCTACTGCATTGGTTATGTTAGCAAATGCTGGATTTACTTCTCTCTCCTTTCAAAGATGAATAAATAAATAAATTAGACCAGTGGTAAAATCCAGCATCCGGAGGAAAGAGGAACTTTCCTGAAGAAAAAAAGAAATGGATTATCTCTGTAAACTGCTCTCTGTAAGTCACAGATGAACCTTTAGCAGCAATAGCCAAAACTCTGAAAGGGCAGTGTGAGATGGTGAGAGAAGTATTAAAGAAAACCAGGTGAAATAAGGACCAGAATGATTTCCAGTGTGAGTTGTACTAGAATGTTTCAAAATGTTTGTGGAAAAATTAAAAATTTATTTTGGTGCCAGAAGATTTTCTTAATTTATTTTTTTGAGAGAGAGAGCCATCCATTGGGTTCACTCCTCAAGATGCCTCCTACTAGGGCCTGAGTGGGGTAGGAGCTGCAGTGCAGTCCGTGTCTCCCACATGGGTAGCAGGAATCTACTTACTTGAGCCATCACTTTTGCCTTCATTGTATGCATTAGCAGGAAGCTGGAATAGGGCTGGAGCTGGGACTTAAACCCAGGTACTCCAACATGAGATGTAGGAAGCTAGTGTCAGCCCCAAGTGTAAAAACAATTTGAAATCCATGTGTACTCGTATAACATAGCTTGACTGGTTGGTTTAGCTTAATATTACAAACCCTATTATTGTAATATATTCCACTAGCATATTTTTAAATCTTTGATTATAAATTTCGGATTTAAAACTGGTGATGGCTTCCATAGATACAGAAGTAAGTTCACTAAAATTTAACATTCACTTCTGATTAGGAAATATTTAACCAACTATTATAAAATGGAAATTTACTAACTGAAGAAAGGATAACTTTAAAAAAAAGTCTTAAGCAAATGTCACATTTAATGAGGAAATGTTGAAAACATTTTTTGAAGAGATAGGGAACAAGAATGCCCCAAATTATTAGTCTTGAGTTTCATTATAGAATCTGTTTATTTAATGGAATGGAAAATAAATGCTTTGTCACTTGCAGATGATGTGTTTAACTGTGAAGATAAGTAATCTACCCATAAAATAAAGGAAATAAGAACTTAGCAATGTGCCAAACATGAGGTCACAATAGAAAAGTCAGTTGCTGGGGCCATCATTGTGGCATAGTATATGAAGCCTTCACCTGTAGTGCTAGCATCCCATATGGGCACCAGTTCAAGTCCCAGCTGCTCTACTTCCAATCCAGTTCCCTGCTAATGTACCTGGGAAAGCCCAGAAGATGACCCAAATACTTGGGTCCCCACCCACGTGGGAGACCCGGAAGAAGCTCATGAATCCTGGCTTCAGCCTGGCCCAACCTGCAGCCATTTGCGGGGTAAACCAACAGATGGAAAATTTCTCTCCCTGTGTGTGTCTCTCCTTCCTTCTCTCTGTTTTTCTGCCTTTCAAATAGATAAATAAATCTTAAAAAAAAATCAGTTGCCTTCTTCATGCAAACAAGGAATGATTAGAAAACACAATGTAAAAGGAAAATACACCATTTATACTAGCAGTGAAGGAAACAGACTGTACTTAGGAATAACTTTATCTAAAGATACATAAATTAGTAAAATGACTGATTTTATAACTAAATGCTTAATTAAAATTATATAAAAATAAGTGGAAAGGAAGATGAAATTTCTGAATATAAAAGTTAACATCCTTAAAATATCAGTTCTCTCCAAATTGATGTGTAAATTCAATGTGGTTCCAGTTGGGGGTCTCAACAGAATTTTCTTTGAGAAACTAGACAGGCTGATTCTAACATTTAAAAAGAAATGGAAAAATAACAGATATAGTAAAATGCTCCTGAAGAAGACTCAGGTTTCTGAAGGAGAATCAAGTATAAGAGCCTTCCCTGTCAGACAGCAGGACTTGTTGTAAAGCTATATTGGTAATGGCAGTGATGTACTGATGCTGGAACTCACAGATGGTCTGGTTTAATAGGGTTGTGTCTAGAAACTAGCCTGTTTTTATCTGCAGACTTCATTTAGACAGACTTAAGACAGTAAGCACTGATAATTACATCAGGAAAAAGGAACAATCGGTTATCTATAGTAAAATAAATGAAGTTAGATACCAACATCATACTCAAAATCAGTCACATGAGGATTAAAGACTTAAATGTGAAAAGCAAAAATCTGTTTTATAAAAAAAAAGTAGTATTGGAAGGTGTCTTCATAATGTCAGGAGAGGGAAAGATAAATAAAACACAAGTTGGCTGGGTAGATACCACATATTGTAAAATAGGGCTACCAAAGGCTAAGAGGCACCTTTCCTTAGAAAGGGCTGGGGACATTTATGAGGGTTTGTTTTTTTCAGATTTATAAAAATAGGCACGATAATTGAACATTTTTTAAATATATGGTTAGTTTGTATGAAAGAATACAAACCTCAGGGAAGACATCCTTTCTAGTAATTAGAAAACAAATTCTGAAAATCTTGAGAAGTTAATGTTATTATATTGTCAGAAATGTAAGAAAATAACATCCAAAGTTGATAGCATTATGAAGAAACTACAGGGAGGAAAATATGCATATACGTTCAAAACTTCTGGAAAGCAGTAAAGAATAGTACCTTTAATTCAATAATATCACTGCTGTAAGTTAACTCTTAAAGCAAAATATTATCATATTCATCTTAATAGCAAAAGCCTATGAAGAATACAAATGTCCAAGAGTTGTTTAAGATGAACTAAAGTATTACATTGTACATCAACCGTCAGGACAAGAGCTGATCAAGTCACTGTTTCTCATAGTGTCCATTTCACTTCAACAAGTTTCCCCTTTGGTGCTCAGTTAGTTGTCGCCAATCAGGGAGAACATATGATATTTGTCCCTTTGGGACTGGCTTAATTCACTCAGCAGGATGTTTTCCAATTTCCTCCATCTCGTTGCAAATGACTGGGTTTCGTTGTTTTTGACTGCTGTATAGTATTCTATAGAGTACATGTCCCATAATTTCTTTATCCAGTCTACTGTTGATGTGCATTTGGGTTGGTTCCAGGTCTTAGCTATTGTGAATTGAGCTGCAATAAACATTAATGTGCAGACTGCTTTTCTATTTGCCAATTTAATTTCCTTTGGGTAAATTCCAAGGAGTGGGATGGCTGGGTTGAATGGTAGGGTTATATTCAGGTTTCTGAGGAATCTCCAGACTGACTTCCATAGTGGCTTAACCAGTTTGCATTCCCACCAACAGTGGGTTAGTGTCCCTTTTTCCCCACATCCTCTCCAGCATCTATTGTTGGTAGATTTCTGAATGTGAGCCATTCTAACCCGGGTGAGGTGAAACCTTATTGTGGTTTTGATTTGCATTTCCCTGATTGCTAGTGATCTTGAACATTTTTTCATGTGTCTGTTGGCCATTTGGATCTCTTCTTTTGAAAGATGTCTATTGAGGTCCTTGGCCCATCTCTTAAGTGGGTTGTTGGTTTTGATCTTGTGGAGTTTCTTGATTTCTTTGTAGATTCTGGTTATCAACCCTTTATCAGTTGCATAGTTTGCAAATATTTTTTCTCATTCTGTCGGTTGCCTCTTCACTCTCCTGACTGTTTCTTTTGCAGTACAGAAACTTCTCAATTTGATGCAATCCCAAATGTTAATTTTGGCTTTGACTGTCTGTGCTTCTGGGGTCTTTTCCAAGAAGTCATTGCCGGTACCTATATCTTGCAGGGTTTTTCCAATGCTCTCTAATAATTTGATGGTGTCAGGTTGTAGATTTAAGTCTTTAATCCATGTTGAGTGGATTTTTGTGTAAGGTGAAAGGTAGGGGTCTTGCTTCATGATTCTGCACGTGGAAATCCAGTTTTCCCAGCACCATTTATTGAATAGACTGTCCTTACTCCAGGGATTGGTTTTGGACCCTTGATCAAATATGAGTTGGCTGTAGATGTTTGGATTGATTTCTGGTGTTTCAGTTCTGTTCCATTGGTCTATCCATCTGTTTCTGTACCAGTACCATGCTGTTTTGATTACAACTGCCCTGTAGTATGTCCTGAAATCTGGTATTGTGATGCCTCCAGCTTCGTTTTTGTTGTACAAGATTGCTTTAGCTATTCGAGGTCTCCTGTGTCTCCATATAAATTTCAGCATCATTTTTTCCAGATCTGAGAAGAAGGTCCTCGGTATCTTGATTGGTATTGCATTGAATCTATAAATTGCTTTTGGGAGAATGGACATTTTGATGATATTGATTCTTCCAATCCATGAGCATGGAAGATTTTTCCATTTCTTGGTATCCAATTCTATTTCTCTCTTTAAGGTTTTGTAATTTTCATTGTAGAGATCTTTAACGTCCTTGGTTACGTTTATTCCAAGGTATTTGATTGTTTTTGTAGCTATTGTGAATGGGATTGATCTTAGAAGTTCTTCCTCAACCATGGCATTGTCTGTGTATACAAAGGCTGTTGATTTTTGTGCATTGATTTTATACCCTGCTACTTGGCCAAACTCTTCTATGAGTTCCAGTAGTCTCTTAGTAGAGTTCTTTGGGTCCCCTAAATAAAGAATCATGTCATCTGCAAAGAGGGATAGTTTGAGTTCTTCCTTCCCAATTTGTATCCCTTTAATTTCTTTTTCTTGCCTAATAGCTCTGGCTAGAACCTCCAAAACTATATTGAATAGCAGTGGTGAGAGTGGGCATCCCTGTCTGGTACCAGATCTCAGTGGAAATGCTTCCAACTTTTCCCCATTCAATAGGATGTTGGCTGTGGGTTTTTCATAGATTGCTTTGATTGTATTGAGGAATGTTCCTTCCAAACCCAGTTTGCTTAGAGTTTTCATCATGAACGTGTGTTGTATTTTATCAAATGCTTTCTCGGCATCTATTGAGATAATCATATGGTTTTTCTTCTGCAGTCTGTTAATGTGGTGTATCACATTGATTGTCTTGTGCACATTAAACCATCCCTGCATACCAGGGATAAATCCCACTTGGTCTGGGTGAATGATCTTTCTGATGTGTTGTTGCATTTTATTGGCGAGAATTTTATTGAGGATTTTTGCATCTATGTTCATCAGGGATATTGGTCTGTAATTCTCTTTCAATGCTGCATCTTTTTCCGGCTTAGGAATTAAGGTGATGCTGGCTTCATAGAAAGAATTTGGGAGGATTCCCTCTTCTTCGATTGTTCTGAATAGTTTGAGAATTGGAGTTAGTTCTTCTTTAAATGTCTGGTAGAATTCAGCAGTGAATCCATCTGGTCCTGGGCTTTTCTTTGTTGGGAGGGCCTTTATTACTGTTTCAATTTCTGTCTCAGTTATGGGTCTGTTTAGGTTTTCGATGTCTTCATGGTTCAATTTAGGTAGGTTGCATGTGTCCAGGAATCTATCCATTTCTGTCAACAACAGGAGTCACTGTGCACTTACTCCTCATGTAGGATCTTTGGCCTTAGTGTGCTGTACATTGAGATTTAATGCTATAACTAGTACTCAAACAGTATTTTTCACTTTATGTTTCTGTGTGGGAGCAAACTGTTGAAATCTTTACTTAATGTATGCTAAACTGATCTTCTGTATATAAAGAGAATCGAAAATGAATCTTGATGTGAATGGAAGGGGAGAGGGAATGAATAAGGGGAGGGTTGTGGGTTGGAGGGACGTTATGGGGGGAGCCATTGTAATGAATATTCTGTACTTTGGAAATTTATATTCATTAAATAAAAGAAAAAAAAAGATGAACTAAAAGCATTATTTTTGAAAACATAGGAATGTTTTTAAGTATTTTTACATGTGGCATATATGTAAAAGTATGAATGAAAAGGGGACAGAAGGTTATTGGCCAATAATTAATTATAGTAGTTGGTGTAATACATGGCAGAAAATTTTTTCACTGTTGTCTTTAACAGTATAGAATGTTTTTATTTTAAAACATTTAGTATGCAGTTCTTACACGGTCATAGTAGGCATCAAACAAGAATGTTTTAAGTTTTTTTTAATTTCCTTTTATGATTTTAGGAGAACAGTAGTCTGCCCTATAATTGATGTTATCAGCGATGATACTTTTGAATACATGGCAGGCTCTGATATGACCTATGGTGGGTTCAACTGGAAGCTCAATTTTCGCTGGTATCCTGTTCCCCAAAGAGAAATGGATAGAAGGAAAGGTGATCGAACTCTTCCTGTCAGGTAATTAATTAGTGAGACATCTTTCCGCTAGTGTTACTGACAGGATTGTGAAGCTTTGGGAATCATAAAAAAGGATTATAAGACTGTTTTGGAAAACTTAAAATCATTTAAGTTTTCTTATAGTGTATTTAAGAACCATCTTTCACATACATATTTTAAAAAGGATTTTTTTCTCCAGTCAAAAGAACTTTTTTGTTTATTGTATAAACCTAGTGTTTGTGAGAAATGATGACAACATCCATATGTGTTGATTGGTTCCTATATGAACATTTTGGAGATGGTTAAGTCTTTAATTCAGTTAAAGATAAAAAAATACTGGGTTTATGTCACACTACTCCTTAATTTCAAATGTCTGTATGCAAAAATATTACCTAAAACTGGGTCTTTGTACTATAATGTAAGATTTTAAATTCAGACTTGTTCCATCTGGATGGTAGTTACTGGCTGGGAAGGTTAGAAAAGCTTGTTTCTAACATAAGAATCACTAGAATTAACACAAATTTTATAAAAAAGGATTTCCATTAATGCATTTTCTGATGATGTTGTTCTATACTTTGTCATATATAGTTTTTTTTTTTTTTGGAAAGGGATAAAAATATTGATAGTGTTCAGAATATGAAGTTGAGACTTTAGGGCTTTTTGAACCATCCTACTATTTATCCCACTTATATCAGCCTTCTGCTTCTATAGTAATTAAGAGTTCCTTCAGCTCATACCCTTGTGAGCCTCTTAGATCTGCTTTCTTATGAATTCCAAGCTGAATTAGGCTGTTCTTTTACAGAAATAAACCATTCCTGGTCATATATAGAAGAAATATATTGATTTTACTTATACTTCATCTCCTTTACTGTATTTACCACCCGTTAGATCCTGGCATGCTAACTCTAACCTGAGTCTAGTCGATTAGTATAGTAAACTGCCTTTATAGTTGCTAGGAACTATGGAGTGAGCACAGAGGCAGATGAAGAGGATTTTGGGAATAGCTTCAATTTAAGGGAACACCCTTGGAAGTGTAGCAGACAGGGGTGTCTTGGCAAAAACTATGACAGAGCAGGCCTAGCAGTCAGCATTACTAGGTTACTGGTTATATCTGATACAAAAAGTCCCTGGGATCAGTGAAAAGTTTCTTAAAGAGTATAATAAGAGTTTATTCTGTAGTTATAACAGGTGTAAAACTATGGTACTTTTAAATGGTTAAAATTAATGGCATAGTATTATGATTGAATTTCAGAACACCTACAATGGCAGGAGGCCTTTTTTCAATAGACAGAGATTACTTTCAGGAAATTGGCACATATGATGCTGGAATGGATATTTGGGGAGGAGAAAACCTAGAAATTTCCTTTAGGGTAAGTTTCCTCTGAGAGAATAAGTGTTTATTTAACTTTAAATATGGATATACTTTGATGATTTGTTATCTATAAATAAATATGAACATCAAATTTAATACATTTAATCCAACTTCGAAGCCTTTGTTAAATAAAATGATGATACTATTAAGGGTTCATTATAAGCTGTTTGGACAAATAGTTATCATAATAGTTCAGCTATAAAAATTACACAGGATTCCCTTGTTGTTTTTCATTTCTGTTAATTTCAAGGACATAATCAAACTCTTAAAAAATTAAAAACTAATACTTCGGCACTTAACTGCCAAAAACATAAGTTTACATTATATAATATGCCTTTTCTTTCTGTAAAAATTGTTCTCCTAGATAAAACCTGGTCACTTTATCAGTTTTTATTTTTCTATAAAAAGAAAAAGGTGAAATAATTCTGAAATGACTCTAATTTAACACAGTTGACTGTAGCTAAGATCTTTGCATTTTATGGTCACTAAAATCAACATGATTGATAACATTGTATTTTTTAATGAATTTTAGTCACATAACTTATAATGGAAATTATACTAAAGTATACTGTAATCTGAGCCAGCAAGCTCACTTAATTCTTAGCGAATTGCTTTGCTGACTTGTAAAAGGAGAAGTTTGGACTCTAAGTTATCCTAGAGATCCTATCCAGGACAGCACTTTATGACCCTGGGAAGACTTGGAAGTAGGCATTGAATATTTAACAAAATTGAAAATTCTCAAAAGGTGATTTTAATTGCAAATCACAATGAGATTTTTAACTTAGAAAACTGTATTTTGAAAGGATTCTGTTAAATTAAGGAAATAAGCCTGTAATTAGGGATCTTTCTTTTGTACTTTTTTGTTTTTATTCTAATAAAGACAACAGACATGCTACAACTGTTTCACTGAGGAACCCACAGTGACTCCAGTTTAGAGTTTTAGGTTCTGTTTAATGTACAAGTTGTGACATAAGTTTGGAGAGAAGAAATAATGAATTTGGCTTGTGTACTCCATGGTCAGTTTTGATTTTTTTTTTTTAGCCATAAACCAATTAGTAAATATATTATGCACTTAAAAAACTTGCACATTTCATAAAACCATATGTCCATATTAACAAGGGCTGGTTGCAGTTCATCTGTTTGAGTTCATGATCTTCTTAAGAGTCATAGCCTGCATCTAGCCCTCAACCTATCTTTTGCTGTATTTTGTAATTATTTTTATTGGACCACAGTCGAAAATTAGAAACCTTTGCTGCTAAGGAACTACTGGCTGTGTAATCATATAATAGGAGCCCCATGGTTTGCCCTGGATTCCATAAAATTCTAATTGACACTAAATAATCAGTGTCTGATATGGCTCCCTTTGCTGCTGCTCTCAGACTTGATAGTGTGGAAGTAGTTTTGGAAGGCTTTTGCGGATTACAATTTTAAGAGAGGCACCATGGGAAGATTAAGATGAACTTTTCCTGGTTACCCAGGATTGTCTTACATGGCACTCTTTCCTGTTGTTTTCAGATTTGGCAGTGTGGAGGAACTTTGGAAATTGTTACATGCTCACATGTTGGACATGTGTTTCGGAAAGCTACACCTTACACGTTTCCAGGAGGCACGGGGCAGATTATCAATAAAAATAACAGACGACTTGCAGAAGTGTGGATGGATGAATTCAAGAATTTTTTCTATATAATCTCTCCAGGTTAGCTTATTTTGCATTAGAAAAATAGTGTACTTTCTTGTCCTTGGAAGGTACCTACCTTATCAGATCATTTTAAGGAATTAATGAAATGACACATAGTAAGAAAGTTCTTTGCAGAAGAGCTATACATTATTAGCAATAATACAGAGTTATCCAGATCAGTTTTGCTATCCCTGGTGTTACCCATGTTCTGTGTGGTTTTTTTTTTAACCTAATCCTGGGACCTCTGTTCCTATGAAGTTTTATTTTGTTAATTTTCATTCATTTTCCATACTTATATGACTTTCTCTGGATTCTTTACTTTTTTAACCAACATAACAATATTGTTGTTTAGCAATGGGTCATGAGCACTCTATAAGCCGACCCCTGATGCCATCATAAAAGCCTTCCATGAGGCCATTATTACCAGCAAGTGCAGAACCTATGTGACATGCGCTTTTGCATTATTCAGTTAACAATCCTTTTTGTTTTTGTCTTAACATAAACTTTTCTGATCCCATTATGACATACTAGTATGTAGTATTTTGGTCATATATTGCATTCTCCCATAAGTTTAATTTTTTCCTTAAAAATAAAATGTATTTTAATGTCTTCCTTGTTTTATACTTTGGGAGGTAAATTCAATGTTAAATCATTGATTTAGTCACACATCACCTAAATGATTCCGCTTTTGCCATTCATCTGGCTTTTTAGAGTCTACATATAAGCAGATGAGTGTTACTTAATAGAACACTAATAATTCAGAATCAATTGTTTCTTTCAACAGGTGTTACAAAGGTAGATTATGGAGATATATCATCGAGACTTGGTCTGAGACACAAGCTACAGTGCAAACCTTTCTCTTGGTACCTAGAGAATATTTATCCTGATTCTCAAATTCCATGTCACTATTTCTCATTGGGAGAGGTAAAAAATGTATACATTCTGTGTAGTTACTATGTTCTTAAAAAATAGAGATTAAAGTTCCAACAAGGAAAGTACCATTATGTTAAAATCATATAATCTCAAGTGTAAGAAAGTTCTTATTAGATGACAATGACAGTATTTACTTTATAAGTTGAAGTCTTATTATCATGTTATATCTTGTTGAAATAATAATGCTGTATCCCTAACCTCACAGTTGTATTCTTGTTACAGTGTAGCAGTATCTTTTGTAAACTTACTATTTTAACATACTAACTGCTTTAATTGAAATAATATATTCATAAAGGTTGATGAACTTCAAAGTCAGGAGAAATCATAAATAACTTAAAAGACCATAATTGTATTTTGGGCACACATTTATCTTTCCTTTGTGTGTTTTAAATCCCTCAGTTTTTATAGGAAGGTTAGAAAGAATATTGGTAAACATGTTTGGTTTTGCCCATGCTTTTTGAATTCAAATTTTATTGAAATTTAAAATAATTTGCTTATTGTTTATAATAGTTATCACAAATTACTTGTGCTTTGGAATTTAGCCTTTTTGTCCCTATGGGTACCCATATTTTTGGATTTGATATAGAAGAGTTTTGTATTCTTACCTTTTGGTGGATCACAAGGAACTATTTTTTGTGCCCTATTCTACCATAATCACAGAATATCTGTCTTCCAGTCACTGTCTTCCAACATGTTCAGCACCTAGGTCAAAATTGTCTCAGAAACTTTGATTTTTCTACCTTCTCTTTGAAACAAGCCATTCTTTTCATCTGTTTGTTTCTCTTCTACTTCTTAGTTATCATTCTTTTGTTTTCATGTTTGACCTAAAGATTTCCATGTACATTCCTGAATTATTACAATCTACTTTAAGCTAGTACTTTCACCAATTCAGGAAAAAAAATTTAAGATTTATTTGTTTATTTGAAAGGGTGAGTTAGAGAGAGAGAGAAAGGCAGAGATCTTCCATCCACTGGTTCAGTCTCCAAATTGCTGCAGCAGCCAGGTTGGACTAGGCTGAAACCACGAGTCTGGAACTCCATCTAGTTCTCCCTGGGTGGGCCATCTTCCGCTCTTTTCCCAGGCATAACAGTAGTGGAGCAGTGGAGGCTTGAAACAGAGCCCATGTGGGATGCCGGAATTGGAGGCAGCAATTTAACCCACCGCGCCACAATGCTGGACCCACCAATTTGCAGTTTAACTGACATTTTCCCTCTGGTTTTTGGAACAGTGCTTTGCTTATTGTAGTATGATACTCCAAGCTGTTTGTTAGACCATGAAAATTCTCAGTATCTTTTCTTAATCATCTAACTCCCCCAAAGCTGCCTTTTTTATATCCAGGCAGAGATTTTTCAACAAATCTCAATAGTGGATAGTAAATCAATCTAACTGTTTATGATCACTTTTTAAAAAATAGTTTAGAATAGGATATGTGCATGTCCACTGGATACAAGAAAGGGATTTTGTTTTTAGTTGGTTTTGTTCTGATTTGCAATCAAAAAGTTTGGACCGCCGGCGCCGCGGCTCACTAGGCTAATCCTCCGCCTAGCAGCGCCGGCACACCGGGTTCTAGTCCCGGTCGGGGCGCCGGATTCTGTCCCGGTTGCCCCTCTTCCAGGCCAGCCCTCTGCTGTGGCCAGGGAGTGCAGTGGAGGATGGCCCAGGTGCTTGGGCCCTGCACCCCATGGGAGACCAGGAAAAGCACCTGGCTCCTGGCTCCTGCCATCGGATCAGCGCGCTGCGCCGGCCGCAGCGCGCCGGCCGCGGCGGCCATTGGAGGGTGAACCAACGGCAAAGGAAGACCTTTCTCTCTGTCTCTCTCTCTCACTGTCCACTCTGCCTGTCAAAATAAAAAAAAAAAAAAAAGTTTGGACCACCAGTTTTTACGGTAGATGAGCATTTTCTTCTATGATCTTATATTACCGTTTGTAGCATTTGCTACCAGATGTTTCTTGTATCTTTGGTTAGCCCCTTTTTTCACTTTTCATCTTTCTGGTAAAAACACATGCTTTCCTTTATCCTGTGCCTTCTTTCCCAAAGAACACAGAATTTTTGCCATGTTGTAGTGTAATCACTACCTCCTCCACCCTTTTGCTCAAACTCTTTCCTTGAAATTTGGCTTATTTTTTTCTGGGGCAGTCTTAGTCGTCAAAAGGTATTACTTGGACATACGCCTTTTGTAAAAGAGATTCAGCCATCCTTATTTCGATCCTATAATCAGACAGCTTCCAGGCTCTGGAGAAGGAGAAGCGAGAGTTCTAGTAGGACAGAACTATGGTTGTCTGTACACAATAGCCTGCCGGCTCAATTCAGCCTGCTGTCCATTTTTGAAAATAAACTTCTATTAGAACATGGTCATATACGACTTTTGAACTACAGCAGAATTGAGTAGTTGCCACAATATATCCTAAGATATTAATGGTCTTAACAAAATGCGTTGACTCCTAGGATATGCAGTGAGCAGCAGTCACTGGCATCCTTCCTTATCCTCACTTACCTATTGTTCCAGCTTGTCTTTAATCACTGGGAGCCTTTATGGATGGATTTCTCTAGTTGATAAAGCTAAAATTAAATTTGTTCTTGTTTCTTTCTTCCTTCTTTACTGCTTAAGTCTAAGAATTACCTTTTTCCCCCACTCCTTCTCTGAAAGAGTTTAGTTTCCATTGACTTGACACACCTGGGGATACAGATATACTGTTGGATCTTGCCTTTTTTCCACTATTCTCTTACATAATGACATGTTTAACACACTGTACCATCCGTAATTCATTGCAAGTCTTTATGATCTTTTAATTATAAAATAGGCTTTTAGAAAAAATATGATGCCAAGTGTGTGTGTGTTAGGATGGGGCACCCAACCTTTCTGTGATTAAAAAGGATAGGAGGGGCCGGTACCGCGGCTCACTAGGCTAATCCTCCACCTGCGGCGCTGGCACCCCGGGTTCTAGTCCCAGTTGGGGCACTGGATTCTGTCCTGGTTGCTCCTCTTCCAGTCTAGCTCTCTGCTGTGGCCCAGGAGGGTAGTGGAGGATGGCCCAAGTACTTGGGCCCTGCACCTGCATAGGAGACCAGGAGGGGGCACCTGGCTCCTGGCTTCGGATCAGTGCAGCGCACCAGCCGTAGTGGCCATTTTGGGGGTGAACCAACAGAGGGAAGACCTTTCTCTCTCTCTCTCTCTTTCTCTCTCTCTCTCTCACTGTCTAACTCTGCCTGTCAAAAAAATAAAAAAAGGATAGTAGTCACAGCACAAATGATGGTATGTGTAGATAGTCACCACCAGTCCCTCTCTAGGGGTTAAATCTTCATGACCTTTAGGATAAGCAACCTCCTAGAAGGTTGTCACTTAAGTCTTTTCATCCATTCAACAAATATTTAAGGACTTACTGTATAATAGATATGACTTTGAATACTAGGAATATGGGGTAAGCGTGTGGTGCAGCAGGTTCACACCACTTGGAGCACCTGCATCCCATATCTGAATGCCTGGTTCAAGTCCTGGTTACTCTACACTTCAGATCGAGCTTCCTGCTAATGCACCTGGGATACAGTAGGTAAAGGCCCAAGAACTGGTTTTCTGCCACCCAAATGGGTGACCTTCATGGAGTTTCTGGCTCCTGGCTTTGGCTTGGCCTAACTCCAGCAGGTTGGGTATTTTGGGAGTGAACCTACTGGATGAAAGTTGAAATTTTTTTTTTATTATCTTTTTTATTTGAAAGAGTTACAGAGAGAGGTAGAGACAGAGAGGTCTTCCATCAGCTGGTTCACTCCCCAAATGGCTGCAATGACTGGAGCTGAGCCAATCCGAAGCCAGGTGACAGGAGCGTCTTATGGGTCTCCCATGTGGGTACAGGGGCCCAGGGACTTGGGCCATCTTCCACTGCCTTCCCAATGCAGGATCCAAAGTAGAGCAGCCGGGACTAGAACCAGTGCCCATATGGGATGCCAGTGCTGCAGGCCAGGGCTTTAACCCACTGCGCCACAGCGTTGGCCCCCGATGTATCTCATAATATTTATTTCTCCTTCCATTCTTCTCCCTCTCTCTCTTTCAAATAAATAAATCTTTAAAACATAACAATAGGAATACAACAATGAATAATATAGAGATCCTGCTGTTGATTTCCAGTCTGTAGGGAAATATAAATTGTGAAAAATACACAATAGGTAAAAGAAATGGAGAATGCTAAGTGTGGATAAGGGTGCCATTTTGTGTAGGGTGGTTGAGAAAGGCCTCTCATAAGGTAACATTTTAGCAAAATTCTAAAGGCAGTGAATAAGCAAAGCCATACAAATTTCTGGGAAGAAGTATTAATGGGCACAAGGAAAGAAGGAATAAAGGTTCCTAAGATGAGCGTGTACTTACCATGTTCCAGGGACACCAAAAAAGTCAGTTCTCAGAAACAGAGTAAACAAGTTGAGAGGGTAGTATCAGGTAAGGTCAAAGATACAATGAGAGCTTGTGGGCCATGGTGACCCAGACTTTGGATTTTATTTGAGTAAGATGGGAAGCCATAGAGAGAGATGAGCAAACTTTCATTAGAAAGGGATCAGATTGTCTGCTTTTTGGACAAAAACTACATGGGAACAAAGAGTGTAGTCAAGAATTCTTTAGCCTGAGACACTGGTACTCTGGAGTTGCTCTACTGAAATGAAAAAGCCTATGGAAAGAGCAGATTCTAGAGGAATTCAGCAGTGCAGTCTGGTTACACATTACACTTAAAGTCCAAATGAAGATTCTGAGTAGGTAGTTAACAGTTTTTAAAAATGCAATTTGAGGCTGGTGCCGTGGCTCAATAGGCTAATTTGCCTGCGGCGCCAGCACACCGGGTTCTAGCCCCAGTCGGGACTCCGGATTCTGTCCAGTTGCCCCTCTTCCAGGCCAGCTCTCTGCTATGGCCCAGGAGTGCAGTGGAGGATGGCCCAAGTCCTTGGGCCCTGCACCCCATGGGAGACCAGGAGAAGCACCTGGCTCCTGGCTTCGGATCAGTGCAGCATGC